GAAGTCACAATCTGTTCACAAGTTATTAAATATTTCTATTCACCAGAACAATGACCTCTCTTCTCTTAAAAATTCCCAAATGAATAAGAACTCCAGTCCACAGGTAGGCACACAGGGACGATCAGAGCTCTGACAACATGGGAGACACATGCTTACATGACATTCTCAACTCTTTTTACAACAGAAAGTCTGATCTTTGATCTGCAGGAAATAAAAATTAACAGGTAACACTGAAAAACCAAAATCTACAAAGCTGTAAGTAGCACATGTTCTGTCAGATGGCATCCTCTTCCTCCTGCAGGATAAAGGATTGTTCAACACCGCCAAGCCACTTAATGGTTGTGCAATATTCAAAGGGAAAATCTGAGGGCCCTTACACAATGCAAGTCCTGTCAGCCTCCACCTTACCAGTGAGACAGAAACCGAGAACAGTCGGCTGCTATTGTGCAAGAGCAGTGGAGATCCACACCTGGGGCGGTGGGCCCGGGTGGGAGAGGTTCTAGAGAAAAAGCAAGCAGAGGATCATTGTATTTGATCTTCTGCTGGGATGAGCACTACTGTATGAGGTAAGAAACGGCACGAGTCGATCTAGTGTCTCAGGAAAAATGGAGATTGGCATACTGGACGTACTTAGCATCCTACGGCTCTAGGTACATTACTGACCTTACTCGAGATCTAAAAGATCAAAGCCCAGCCACAGTGTTACGAGCAGAGGGTGACCCGGTATGGAGGCTTAGTGGCCTGGGAGGCCTGGGTTTGGATCCTGGCCCAGTATTTGGTTCCAGGCTGGGCGTGGTGGTACACACCAGTGATCCTAGCAAGATGGGAGACTGGGACATGAAGGGTCGGGCTGTGTCAAAAGTTCCTAGTGTGTACTTGCGTGTGGTCTCTCTTGTGCACTCTCTCTCCCCTATTAAAAACAGAAAGAATAAACAAAATCAAGTTTTCTTTTCTTGTGACTTTACAAATACAACTAATATCTTACTTTCCATTTCGTGTTAACAGCCCTATAATCCTAATCTAATTTGCACTGTAGGACTGCCAATACTATCCCATTCCTTCATTCAGAAAGCATGCATTCAATAACTACAATTATATATCACCTTAGATGGTGTCATCAATCTGTAATTACAAAAGTTCATCTATATTTATTCAGAAGCAATTAAAACTGTTGACTAGAAGTTTAAAACAGGAAAAAGATATTTAAATCGTCTTACAATTAGTAATTAGCCTAAGTACGCTATCATTTATACTTTCACCCAAGCATTCTAACTCCCTACTCTGATTCCACCCATATTAAAAAATACACCATCAATCACAAGGGGTTTAAATGCAAGTTACACAACAATTACAGGACACTTTGTATGTGCCAGGCCCCGTGCTAGGCTCCGGGGGTACAGAAAAGGCACCTGCCCTTTAAAGCTTCCACGTCAAGCACTATGCTACAAGAGTTATGTCAAGTGGACGCACTTGGAGAAGTTCTTTCCACTGGCTAAGCACGCACAGAACTCTGAGAAATCACACGCACCTCCCTCAAAGGCTTATTAGCTTATTTATGGAGTTCTCTTTGAAAACAATGCCATTATTCCAGTTGATATTCAACTGGCACTGAATGATTAATTAGATGAAAACTGACTATCGACTCCTTCAGAACCTTTTTCCTAAAGGTATCACTAATGTCTGTCTGCCCAAAGCAAAGCAGGCAGATACCATTCGCAGGAGCGCCTGCATTTCGTCAGGTCTCGATTAGTTGCCAAGGTTTATCTAGGAGTGTAACATCTCGTCGATTTCCTGAAACACTCTCTTGAGCCATATAAACCCCCAACAGGCATTTTCTCATTCAAACGATTCCTGGTGTACAAAGCAGATTCCTGGTGTAAAAGGCACTTCACAGCAACCCACGGGATCAGATGTTTTCCTTCCTCACACTGCAGTGCTGTCTGTCACATGATTCACCAGAGATCAGGATGGGATTAGTCAGACTGGAGAGCGCCGACTAGAACGTTTCATCGAAATTCTTTCTACCCAGTGAGGATACAGTCTCATCACCTGGGAGAAGAGGTGCTTTCCTGCGTTTCCCAAAAGGTCTATTGCCAGGGCTCTCTCCAGTTCTCAAGGAGGCCGCGGAAAGGGTTCCTGCTACCCAAGTGCATTCTCTAGTCCTCGAGAACATTTCTTTCAGGACTGCTGAGCTGTCCACTTAAACCTGGTTCAGTAAGGACTTTTCCTCATCACTACCCTGAACACGCCCCTGCATTTCCTTACGCTATGCATATCTGCTACCAGTGGGCTAAACTGCTCGGCTTCTCCGAAACACCTTGCGTTCAACCAAGTGTGGTTAGCTGGCCAGAAAATGAAGAGGCCTACGTGTTTAGTCCCGGCTCTGCGGTAATGAGATGTGCGAAGCCTGGCAAGTCCCTCCCCTCCCAGAACCTTGGGCTTCTCACCTGTAAAACGAGAGGGTTGGGCTGGGTGCCCCGCAGGGTGCTGTTCAGCTCTAGCGTGAGATCTCTGATATCTAGATGTCCTCCTGGGGGGCAGCCCCTCCACCGCCCTCGAGCCTCCCCGAGCCTCCCCTGCCCCTGGCTGTGGGCCTGACCACGTCAGCGACCGCTCTGCCCCGGCCGCGCGGGGCAGGTGCCCAGGACCTCCCCGAGGTCCTCGTCAGTGGGAGGGGTGGGATGGGAAGGGGCGGACCCCCGACCCCTGCACGGCCCAATGAGGTTAGCAAAGATTAAGGTCGGAACGACCAGAAGGGGCCCTCGGAGGCAGGAAGCGAGAGCCGAGAAGACCCCAGCCTGGGCGGCCGGAGGCGGGGGGCCTCGGTCCGGAGCCCACCGACCCCGGGGGAAGTTCCCGTGGGTGCCCCTGCCCTGGGCCCACCTACGTCACGGATACGAAGGCAGACGCGAACCTCGTCCTAGAGACACACGCGGGCCAGGGTCGCCGAGACGCGGCAGGGAAGAGAAATCCCACCCCCTCCGCTGGCTCAGCAGGACTAGGGGCAAAGGGCTGGGCTGAGGGGCGAAGACGGACGCGTCCTACTCGCTGGGACTCACTGAGGCGAGGCTGGGAGAGGTAGTTCCGGCTCACTGCAAGCGCCTGCTCCCGGGCTCCCACCGCCGGCCCGCTGGTGGGCACCGGCAGCTCCGGCGCGGCCCCGTTCACGATGCCCCGCATAGCCCGCAGCGCCATCTTGTCTCCTCGGTCCCAGCTGGCTCAGCAACAGAGCCGCGCAGGCGCAGATATACCCAGACGGCCCGCGCACCGGGCTCCGCCCATGCGCACAGCGGAGCCCCGCCTTTGCCCCGCCCTCGTCCCGCCCCCGACCTCGTGACTCGCTCCGGTGGGCGGGGCCGGGCCGGCGCGGCAGAGAGGAGCTGACCAGCGTGCTGGGTGGGCGGGCGGGGAAGCGGAGGCAGGAACCAGGCAGAAAGAGGAACCCAGGGAAAAGCGCGAAGAGTGGGAGGGACAGGGAAGGAAGGCAAACAGGAGAGGCCATCCGAGGTCCATCTTAGAATGACCTTTCGTGATGTTGAATGAGGAGATGGCAAGTTCTGAAAAACAATTTGAGAAACAGGAGAAATAGATGACCTAGTCCAGGGATTGTCAACCCATTCATTCACTCTCTTGTGCATCCATTTCAGGGTGCAGGGAGCTGCGTTGAAGAGCATAGGAGCAGGTTTGAGACTCAAGGGTGGGACTGTCGGACTAGCTGACTGCGGACGACCTTAGGAAGGCTGGAGCCCAAGCAGCTGCACTCGTGTCTGCAGGGTAGAGAACGAGAAGGAAGAGAGATACTTAGCTGCTGCTGGGGAGGGAAAGTGAAACTATTGTTCTGGGATCTGTTTAGTTAAGCTTCCTAGGAGACAGTCAGAAAGACATTAATTAATTAAGTAATTAATTAATTAACTTATTTATTGATTGATTTATGTATGTATGTATGTATTTTGCTATAGGGCCCAGTGCTCGCTGGAGACGGAGAGAGAAAGCAGATCCCTGGGGGAGGGCCACACCGAGAGTCGTTCTCCTCTCTGGGGATTTTGGGCATGCATACACGTGCATTCTGTATGTTTTACAAGCCACTAAGTCTGGGGATCAAACCATGTGGTTGGCCATGGGGATCCAGTGGACTTAACCACCTTCTATGTGAATACCCAAAAAGAAGAGATATTTGGGCTGAACGAAGCTAAGGCTTGAGATTTATCACCATGTTATAATGTGGAAACGAAAGAGATCAACAGGAGATTGTGCACAGAGTGGTGAGTGCTACAGACCAATTTCTGAGGACTCACCAAGATCAGGGGATGGGCAAACGAAGAGTACCCTGAAGTCAAACCAGAGTTGGGAAGAAACCAGATCACACTTCCCAGAAGTCAAAAGAAGGGCAAAATCAAAGGACAGACTGTAATGTAGGAAATTGAAGAGAAAGCAAGAGACACGAGGACTCCAAGTATCTGTTGCATTTGGCCATTAGAAAATCATTGTGGGAAGCCAGCAAGGTGTACAGTGGCTACAGTGCTGGACTCTCATGTGCTCGAGGACAGTTTGTGTCCCAGACCGGGTGGCTTGAGAATCATGCCAGACACATGAGTGTGCTTGCTCAAAATCCTGAGAGGAGGCTGGATGAGAAGGGACTGAGGCATGGTCATACCCCTGGGGGTGATTTTCTCACTGTCTCTCTGTTTCTCTCTCTTTCCAGTGAGTGAATGTGCCCTATGGCAAAACCTAAAAATGAAAGGATCATTATGAGGGGCCAGCAGGTGGCATGGTGGTTAGGGCACTGGACTCCCACATGGATAACTGCGGTCTGAGTCTTGCACCTGGCAGCTTGTTCTCTCAATTTCCCTTTCTATCTCTCTCTCTGATGAGGATAGCTCGTTTTAAAAAATAGTAATAACAATAAATAAAATAAATAATTCTAAAAGAAGATCATGGTGATATAAAAGGGAAGCAGATGCTTAATGGACACAATTAAATATATGTATATTTATATTATATATACAATTAAATATATACAATTATATATACACAATTAAATATATATATTTATTTAAATAAAATGTAGAGGGGGATTTTAGGGTGTGAGCTGTATATAATCGTGGTATGTTACAAATGAAGTTATTTAAAGTTTATTTTGAGCACAACATTTCCATGCACTTTGGTATTAATGGTCATAGCCTTTTGAACACAGAAGCAAACTTTTTTAAACAAGGTTTTGCCATAAGGCACACGTGCTCTTCAAGGAGACAGAGAGAGGGAAAGCGAGAAATCATCCCTCTCTGGGGAATGGCCACGCCATAATCTCTTCTTCTCCATTCTCCTCTCAGGGTTTTAGGCACAGATGCACACATGCCTGGCATGATTTTCAAGCTGCCGGGTCAAAGACTCAAACTGCAGTGGACCATATGAAAATCCAATGCCTTACCCACCATGCCATCTGCTGGCCTCTGCATTCTTTAATTACAGGTGAGGTTGAGCATCATTTAGTATGTCTTCTAATTAAAGAAAAGGCAAAACGATATGGGACACTGTTAGAATTCATGATCCTAAAACTTTTAAAGGTAATTAATGTCCAAAGTGGGCAAGAATATAGAGAAAAAGGAATAGAATAAAACAAATACTTTATGTATAGAAAACTACAGGTAGGACAATATGAAAGTGTTTGGTTTTCCTAATAATAAAGTTATTCAAATTAAAGCAAGCACACGGTTCTACTGTATCTATTGAACAGAGAATGTTCCTGGTGGTTCTGCAAACTGACCAGTTCTTTTGGAGAGCAGTTCGGAATGAATTTGGATCATAAAACCGTTCACACAATTTGATCCAATAATTCAATTCAGTAAGCTTGTTGGAATTATTAACCAAAGGAATGCATTCATAGCTTGTTAAAGCAATAACAAGCTGCCTTAGTGTAGTATTCTTCACAGTGAAAATGAGGTGGTAACCTAAATATTATATTTAATAAACTGTATAAGGTTCTGTATTTGATGGATACTGGAAAGAGTATAATACATAGCTAGTAGAATTTACCTTGATGGGACTATACTTAGAAGACTATCAAGTGAAAAACGCTGAATGCAGAATGACAATAGTGTACAACATGTGTGTACATTGATAAAAATAGGATGAACTCGCTAAATGATGTAAATAATTGATGCTACAACCTAGAGAAGGATCTTTTCTTCCTGTCAAAAATGTATATTAAGTGTCCAAAAGCCACATAGACGGTGTCACCTGGGGGAAGGGGTAGTGCCAGAGGTGGTTCAGAGGTGCAGACACTGAAGACAGACAAGCTTTTAGTCATGTTTTATTACTTCTAAGATCTTAAACAACAATTTCTCTGTGGGTCTCGTTTTTCTCACTTATAAAGTGAGGATAATAATACCTTCTTTATAACTTCGTTGTGAACATTTAAAGAGATAATGAGGCTCAACCTCGGCAGCACCGTTGGTATATACCAAGGCCACGTGGCTGCCCACAGGCTCAGGTCCCTGGCCTGGTCATGCTGAAACACACAAGGCGTGGATGCCCAGGATCCTAAAGGGTGGAGGGGCCTAGGGAAAGGTATCATGCCACAAGGCCCTGTCAAAAGTGCTCTTTTCTCTCCCTCATGCACACACACACACACACACACACACACACATACACACACACATTCTCTATCATGAATAAATAGTAAATAAAACTGGGACCAGCAGATGGCATAATGGGTACATCACTGGACTGACACATAGTCAACAGCAATTTGAGTCCCAGACCCGGCAGCTTGAAACTCATGCCAGGCATGTTTGCATGCATGCCCAAAATAATGAGAGGAGAACGGAGAAGATTGCAGTGTGGCTATCCCCCCTGGGGCGTGATTTCTTGCCTTCTGTCCCTGTCTCTTCAGTGAGCATATGTGCCCTATAGCAAAAATCTCTCTCTAAAAAAAGTAAATAAAACTTTTAAAAAGAGAAATAAAGAATGCAAAGTTTTTTGGCAAAAACAAACAAACAAAAGGACTAGAATGTTTTAAATATTATTATTGCATACTTTGGTTTATGCATTGGTAAAACATTACATATTAATCTCTATTGTCAGGTTCTTTTCTAAGAGCTAAACAGAATGGCTCTTTACTATCAATAGTTTGCATTAAGCTGGGGCTATAACTTATCATTTTCTCTTGCCTTCTACACGAAGTTTCCAGTGAGTAGCATGCACATAGCACTCTACCAATCTAGTAGGAGAATGAAAGCGTGTTGTTCCTTTCTTAAGAATGAGTCCACGAATCTTATTTCTCCACATGGAGGATTTTTCCTAAGGAACAGTTAGAAAACTGTTAGGGACCTCACTCAGATTGTATGCTGCTTGTTCAAACTCAAGCCCTACTTTACTGCCAAGGAATTCAAGAATCGCTGGCACCAGCAGTAGCACATGTGGTCAGAACATGCGGCTCAGCGTCACCAGCCTGGATTCAATGTCGCCTGCTCCTTATTCACAGTGTGACTTTGGGCCAATCCTCACTTCCTTCGGTCTCCCAGTTTCCATCTGTGAGTTGGTAAGATTTCATGGAATGTACCGTTCTCAGGGATTTTTAAGAAGGCTCGCAGAAACCCACACGTTAGACAGCAGTGCACACTACACTTGTTCTTTCTTTATAGGTGTTCATTGAGGAAGAAAATGTGGGAAGGGATATAAGAAAAGCTCATACCAGTGACCTAATTTTCCCCATGTAAGGTGCATCCCTCTTCATTGGCTGGAAAATCCTGATCAGGGAAAATATTATGAAGACAGACCAAACAGCAGATCGAATAAATACATTTCCACATGATATGGGGTGCCACTAAGATCATCAAAATACGCTTTTCAGCGTGAGATGGAAGAAGTTAGTTCCTTCCTTCCTTCCCTCCTTCCTTCCTTTCTTCCTTCTTTCCTTCTTCCTTCCCTCCCTCCCTCAGTCATGCTGGCTGTTTCCTAATTCTGACTATCAAGATAGCTGGACACTGTACTTTGACCTCCTGAAAATGGAGATCTCTGGTCTGTTTCATATTCCATGTGACTTTTATTCTCATGAGGGTCATGAGTGTATTGTGGAAAAGAGAAAGGACAGCAGAGGGCTCCCTATGATCAGAACGCTGGCCACAGAGGTGGTGGGGTGTCCATGTTTAAACACATGAAAGCCATCAGAACGCTGGCCACAGAGGTGGTGGGGTGTCCATGTTTAAACACATGAAAGCCATCAGAACGCTGGCCACAGAGG